TATCAAATGTGATGGTCAAATAGATTTTCTACTATATTTGGATTATTGCATTGAGATATTTTGGAGATCATATAAGATTTGTGTAGTATGTGTGTGTCTGTGCATATATGCATTTATCTATCTATCTATATATGTATGTATGTACGTATCTATCTATCTATCTATCTATCTATCTATCTATCTATCTACAAATTAATTAGATATACCCCTTCCCATAGCTAAATGCTTCATTTGGTGATGAGGGATGTCCAACTGGGACATATCTTCCAAAATGAACATAATTTTAAGAAGCTTCTACTATATTAGATTACCCTTGCATTACCTTAAATTTTAGCTATTTCTTCCTGTATTTCTTTCCACAGTTCCCTGCCCTTCCCCATTTTCCACTTGATCCTCCAATGCATTCATACCTATCATCTCCCTTTCCTAGAGAAATCTACTTTACTCCTAAGCTCTATGGTTTTAAGGATTGTATGTTGGTTATAATTTGACCTGACAGCTAATGTCCTCATAGAAGCAAATACACAGCATATTTGCCTTGCTGGGTCTGATTTTCCCACTTCAGAATGATTTTTTCTAGTTAAACCAATTTTTCTGCAATTTTTATAGTTTCTTCTCTCTCTTTTTTAATGGTTGTAAGAATTCCCCACTGAAACCATGTGACTCTGCTCTTTTATTGGTTGGTAAACTTTTTTAAAATTTAAATTAGAAACAAAGTTGCTTCACATGTCAGTCCTAGCTCCCTTTTCTCCCCCTCCTCCCCTTCTCCCCCCACCAGGCCCTCAAGTCCCCCACCTAATCCCTACTCCATTTCACAGGGAGGGTGAGGCCCTCCATGGGCGATCTCCAGAGTCTGTCATTTCGTTCAGGGCAGGCCCTAGGCCCTCCCCACAGAGTCCAGGCTAAGAGACCATCCCTCTTTGTGGAAGGGGCACCCAAAGTCCATTTGTATGCCAGGGATATATACTGATCTACAAATTAATGCTTTTCCATCACTTGGGGTTATTGGTATGTTGAAATTGCTTATCTGCTCTTGATTTAACTTTGGTAAGTGGTATGTATTAAGAGAATTATCCATTTATTTGGTTTTCAAATTTGATGGGGTACAGGTTTTTAACATATGGGGTTATAATTCTCTACATTTCCTTGATGTTTCTTATTATGCCTTTTTCTTTTTAATTTTGATATTATCTCTCTTTTATTTAATTTGGGTAAGTGTGTGCCAGTATCAATGATTTTCTCAAGAACTGACTCTTAATTTCATTATTTATATTTTTGCTGTTTACTTTTATTCTGTTGATTTCAGCCATAAGGTTGATTGTGATTTCTTCCTACTGTTGTTGGTCTCTCAGGAATGCCATTAAGTTACTAGTATGAACTCTCTCCAGTTTTTTACTGGAGGCATTTAGTACTATGAACTTTCCTCAGAGAACCATCTTCAGTGTGTTTTATAAGTTTGAGTATGTTGTGTATTCACTTTCATTCAATTCTATAAAGTCTTTAGATTCTGTCTTGTTTTTTGGAGGATTATTCAACAATAAAAGTTCTTTTATTTTTAAAATTTAAATTAGAAACAAGCTTATTTTACATGTCAATCCCAGTTCCCTCTTCCTCCCCTCCTCCCCTGCCCCCCACAATCCCCTTCCCCATCCCCTTTCTGCTCCCCAGGGAGGGTGAGGCCTTCCATGGGGGATCTTCAAAGTCTGTTATATCATTTGGAGCAGGGCCTAGACCCTCTCCCTGTGTCTTGACTGATAGAGTTACCGTTTATGTGAAGTGGACTCCCAAAGTCCATTTGTATACTGGGGATAAACAGTGATCCACTACCAGAGGCCCCATAGATTGCCCAGACCTACAAACTGACATCCAAATTCAGGAGGTCTGGAATAGTCTTATGCTGATTTCCCAGCTATCAGTCTGGGGTCCATGATCTCGCACTTGTTCAGGTCAGCTGGTTCTTTGGGTTTCTTCAGCCTGGTCTTGACACTTTTACTTATCACTCCTCTTTCTCTACAACTGGATTCCAGGAGTTTAGCTCAGTGTTTACTTGTGGGTGTCTGCTTCTGCTTCCATCAGCTACTGGATGAAGGCTCTAGGATGGCATATAAGGTAGTCATCAATCTCATTATTGGACTAGGTCATTTAAGGTAGCTTCTCCACTATTACTTAGATACTTAGTTGGGGTCACTCTTGTAGATCTCTGGACATTTCCCTAGTGCCAGATTTCTCTTTAAACCTGTAATGGCTCCCTCTATTGTGGTTTCTCTTTTTTTGCTCTCCTTCTTCCCCTGACTCATTCTTCCTGCTCCCTCATGTCCTCCTCGCCCCTCCTCTTCTTCCCTTCTCTTTCTCCTAACTCCCTCTTCCAATGCTCTTAATCTGTCTTGACCAATTTTTCATTCAATAGTGATATGTTCAGTTTTCATGAGTTTGTAAGCTTTCTGCTGTTTTGTCAATATCCAGCTTTAATATGTGGTGGTTAGATATGATACCGAACATCATTTTAGTTTTCTTGTATTTGTTAATATTTGCTTTGTGTTCTAGTATTTGAACATTTTCAGAGTAAGTTCCTTGAGGATCTGAGAAGGTCTATTTGGTTTATAGCATCAGTTATCTATAGCATTTCCCTGTTTAGTTTTTGTCTAGATTACCTGAATATTGTTGATAGTGGTGTATTAAAGTCACTCACTTCCAGTGTGTGAAGGCCTATATGTATTTAAGATAAATACTGTTTATTTTATGAACTTAATGTCCTTCTGTTTAGTGCATAGGTGTTAAGAATTGCAATATTCTCTTGGAAGTTTTTTTTTCCTTTGATGAGTATGTAGTACTCTTTCCTTTGTGTTCTGATTAGTTTTGGTTCAAAGTTTCGTTTTTCAGATATTACAATGGTACACCAGCTTGCTTCTTAGACTCCTATAATCCTTTTAAAGCTTTGTGTCTTGGATGTAGCAGAAAGGTAGATCCTGGTTTTGCATCTGTTCTGTTAGTCTGTGTCATTTTATTGTGAGATTAATATCTTTGATGCTGAGAGTTGTAAATGAGAAACATTTTTGGTACCTGTTACTTTGTTGTTGTGGTTGTGGCTCACATAAACACACTACACACATATTTTTCTTCTCTTTTGATTTGCTGATCTGGAATTATTCCCTGTGTATTCTTGGGTATGGTAAACTTCTTTAGGTTGCAGTTTTACTTCTAGAGCCTCCTGTAGGGCTGTATTTGTACATAGATACTGTTTAAATCACCATCTCCATTGAGATCTCACATACTATTCTAGTATCTTTGCTCTTGTATATTTTTTAGCAAAATTTTCTTCTACCTTTTAATATTCTTTCTTTGTTATGTAAATTTGTGTTTTTATTACTATGTGTTGAGGTGAGTTTCTTTTTTGATAGAGTCTATTATGTGTTCTGTATGCTTCTTTTACTTTGATAGGAATCTCCTTTAAGAAGATTTTCTTCTATGGTTTTGTTGAAATACTTTCTGTACCTTTGCCTGGGCTTCTTCTCTTTCCTCTAATGCTATTATTAATAGATTTGTTGTTTTCATAGTTTCCAAGATTTCCTGGATGTCATATGCCAGGACTTTCTTAGACTCAACATTTTTCTTGTCTATTTTGTCTTGTATTTCCTCCTATTTTGTCTTCAATGTCTGAGATTCTGTCTTCTATCTCTTTTATTTTGTTGGTGAGGCTTACCTGTGAGTTTCCTGTTTGAGTTTCTAAATCACTCATTTCTATCTTTCTCTCAGTTTGAGTTTCTTTATTGACTATGCTATCACTTTTAGATTTAGATTTTTGTTTTATTCATTTCCTTCCACTGTTTATATTTTGACACATTTCTTTAAGGGATTGATTAATTGCCTCTTTAAGAATGACTGTCATATTCACAAAGGCTATTTTAAGGTCTTTGTTGTGAGCTCCAGCTGTGTCACAATTCTCAGGGCCTATAGTGGTAGGGCTGACAGACTTTCATGGATACATATCATTCTGGATGTTATTAATTGTGTATGGTTTTTTTCTTTTTTGGTGCTGTCTATGCATCTGGGTTTGGGGTAATTGGAATTCTTTGAGCTTAAATTTGGTCTTGTCTTTGTTGCAAAGATGATTCCTTCCTTGGTTTCTATTTCCCTCTCTGGTATTGTAGCTAGACTACACCAGGTAGTCTTTTACAGAGGTGTGAAACTGGGGGACTGGATTTAGAGGAGAGGAGGGACATGTGAACATCCCCAGTTTGACTATCTGATTCTCTGGTAGAGTGACCTGCAGGTTTCCAGGAAATTCCTGGTGAAGTTGGAGCAGGATAAAATGATGAGTGGGGCAAGGGAAGGTTAGAGGGGAAGATCTGTATGATCCATTGGAGATGAGGACAGGGAACAAGGGGAAACCACAGTAGATGGTCTGCTACAGAGCTGGGGGTGAGACTGGGGCATTGCATTGGCAGTACAGGAGGCAGGGTGACCTGCAGTTAGACTACGTTCTTCCTGGTATTATTTCTTTACTCAGTTGTTTGTTTTATCCTTTGATCAATTGACATTTTTCCATATTCTTCAGTCAGTTCCATTAATCTTTCCATCCTTTGTGACTATCATTGTGTTAAAATTACAGTCAGAGTTTGAACTGGGTGTTAGGTGCCCTGAAACATCATTTCCTTCTAGTAGTGACTATTTGTATCTCTAAAACATCTTTTAGATGTGAGGTTGTTGATATTTATAAAAGAGCTCCTAAGTGTTTGGAGTCCAGTTAATCCAATATACCAAACAAGGAGCTTCAATATCTTACCAGGACTCTTTCGCAAATGCTGTAATGGAGTTTTAGTTTCTGCAGCTGCATGGGGAAAGGTGCTCAAAACAGGATGCAGATTCTATCTCTGTCACTCACTGAATTATAACATGAGTTAAATACCAAGATTTTTCATACAGCTGCTACTAAAGGGAGGGATTGATTACAGGAGGAATGGGGATATGTTCTCTGTGTACTTAGATGTTTCTTCTTGCAGATATCCTCACTTGCTGCTCTGAAGCACACTGCTTTCTACAAGGTCCCAGACTACAAACAGAAGACTATTGAGCTCTTTGAAACTTCATAAGAAGGAAGAGTTTTCCTCCATCTCAAAACAGTTGATTCATGGATTAAATTTCTAGCACTTGGACTTTTGGGAACACATTCATTCCATACCAGAAGAATCCCTTTCACATGATTTTGGTTACTAATTTGAATAAATAAAAAGAAAGAAAACACTAAGAGACAATGGAATACTAGCCCGGACTTCTATTCCCTGCAAAGCTTTCAATCACTATAGATGAAGAAAACAAGGTATTTCATGGCAAAACCAAATTTAAACAATAGGTATCCACTAATCCATCCCTACAGACAGTATGGGAAGGAAAACTCCAACCAATGAAGTCAACTGCACTCAAAAAAACATAGGCAATATATTATACCACTTTACCAACAGCCAAAAGGTAAAAGGAGGTAGGAAATCCAAGCACAATACCACCACAAAGAACATATCTAAAACAAACAAGAAATAGCAATCAATGGTCATTAATATCAATCAGTATTGATGGTCTTATCTCATGTATAAAAAGACACAGATAGCCGGGCGGTGGTGGCGCACGCCTTTAATCCCAGCACTAGGGAGGCAGAGGCAGGCCTCCACGAACTCTGTGAGTTTGTGGCTGGGCTGGACTGACAGCCTCCAAAACAATACAGAGAAACCAAAGACAGAAGGTACTTCAGAGTTAAGGGTTTGGATGCAATCAAATGGATGCAATAAACATAATGGTATAGCTATCCTAATATCTAACATATTAGTCTTCAAACTAAAATAAATCAAAATAGATGAAGAAGGTCATTTCATGTTCATCACAGGAGAAATCCTTCAAAACTAAGTCTCAATTCTGAACATCTATACCCCAAATACAAAGGCATCCACATTAGTAAAAAAAAATTGTAAAAACTCAAATCACACATAGAACCTCACGTGCTCTCAAGACCACCAGACAAAAACTTAACAAAGAAACAAAACAACTAACAGAAGTTATGGTTCAATTGGTTTGAACACAAAAGAATATACCTTCTTACAGACACATGGAACCTTCTCTAAAATCAACCACATTTTCAGCAGTATAGCAAAACTCAACAGATACAAAAAAATTGGAATAACTCCTTGTAACTTATCAGACCACCATGCTTTAAAGTTAGAATTCAATAACAACACAAATTGCAATACAAACTCATAGAAATTGAACAAGGCACAGTTGCACCATTTCTGGGTCGAGGAAGTAATAAAAATTAAAGAAATTAGACACTCACTAGCATTCAATGAGAATGAAGACACAACCTATCCAAACTCATGGGACGCGTTGAAAGCAGTGTTAAGAGGAAACACATAGCGACTACATGAAGAAAGTGGAGAATAGTCTCACTAGAGAATTAACAGCAAAACTGAGAGCTCTAGAAGAAAAGAAGCAAACTCACACAGGAGGGGTAGAAGCCAGGAAATAACCAAATTGAGTGTTGAAATCAATAAAGTAGAAACTAGGAAAACAATACAAAGAATCAATGTAACAAACGGTTGTTCCAAAAAAATCAACAAGATAGACAAACCTGTATCCAAACTAACCAAAGGCAGAGAGGGGACATGCAAATTATCAAAACCAGAAATGAAAAGGGGGCCACAACAACAGACACTGAGGAAATCCAGAGAATATTCAGGTCATACTTTAAAAACCTGTACTCCACAAAATTCGAAAATTTAAAGGAAATGGACAATTTTCTGGATATCTTTCACTTGCCAAAACTGAATCAAGAATAGATGAGCAATTTAAACAGACCTATAAACCCTAATGAAAGAGAAGCAGTTATTAAAAGTACCCCAAACAAACAACGCCCAGGGTCAGATGGTTTCAGTGCAGAATTCTACTAGAAATTCAAAGAACAACTAATACCAATATGCCCAAAGTATTCCTCATAATAGAAGCAGAATGGTCATTTCCAAACTCTTTTTATGAGGCTTTAATTTCCTTGGTACCAAGCCACCAAAAGACACAACTAAGAAAGAGAACTACAGACCAATATCCCTCATGAACAATGAGGCAAAGATACTCAGTGAAATACTGGCAAATCAAATCTAAGAACACCTCAGAAAAATCATCCACTCTGATCATGTAGGCTTCATACCAGGGATACAGGGATGGTTCAACATACAAAAATCCATTCATATAATCCACCACATAAACCAACTAAAAAAAAACACATGATCATCTCAGTAGTTGCTGAAAAAGTCTTTGACACAGTCCAACACCTCTTCCCACACTGGGGAAAAACACAGAAACACCTGACCTGAACAAGAGGGAGCTCATGGACCCCAGACTGACAGCTTGGAAATCAGCATAGGATATGACAAGGACCCCTGCATGTGAATGTCAGTTAGGAGGTCTGGGCTGTCTATCAGGTCCTGGCAATGGAACAGCACTCATATCTAGCGTACGAATGGATATTGGGAGCCCAGTCCCCGTAGATGGATACTTTCTCAGCCTAGACACATAGGGGAGGACCTAGGCCCTGCCACAAATGATGTGACAGACTGTGATGATCTGTCACAGAAGGCCTTACCCTTTCTATGGAACAGAAATGGAATGAGATGGCTGGTGGGCATGGGAGAATAGGAGGGAGTGGGAACTGGAATTGTATATAAAATAAGATTGTGTCTAATTCAAATAAAAAGGGAAAATACTTTAAAAGCTTTTTTGTGAATTCTTTGACCTTTATGACAATTTAACTTGTGAATTTCAATTTCCAAATATTTGGAATTTTAGCTGAACCGAATGTTGAGTTCCCCACATAATTGCACTTCGTCTGTTTCACCTTGGTGTCCTTTCATATTGCATAAATTTCTTTGAGGTCATTGTGTGACTACCAAGTAAAAATTAATATCTTCAATTTTAATATTAGTGTCTCCTTAGAGAATTATCTAATTGTTATAACACATCATCTTTTTCTGGGAAATGCTCCTTTATTCTGAATTCTGTTCAGTTTGAAATAAATCTAGATTCTCTAGCTATGAAATATTTTAATTATTCTTGTGAGTGTACTTGCATGTGCTCAGTTGATGCACATACATGTAAGTGTAGAGGTCTGTATTGGATAGCTTCCTGAACTTTACTTTCTGAAGAAGAGTTTCCCAGTATACTTGTAGCTCACTATTTGGCTAAACTGACTATCACTGGGGATACCTTATATATGACTCCCTAACATTTGCATTACAGATTCCAATCAGGCTATATGTAGCTTTTCACATATGTTTAGACAATCTGATTTATTTTCTTATGTTTGATAAGCAAACATTTTACCATCTGAGTCATCTCACCACTGTGTAGAAAGTTTATGGAAAGCTTACCTCTTTACATTTAATCTGAGTTTCTAGATGGATTCCTCATAGACAATGTAAGTTTAATCATGGTTAATACTGTTTTAAAGTTACTATATAGATTATTCACATTGAAAGTAATTATAGATATATTTGGATAGCAACCTACACTACTTGGAATGTTTACAAGTGCATTGTGCTTACTTTTAATGTTTTTAAAGTTTATTGGAAATATAAAAAGCACACAGTGAAATTAGTTGTTATTCATTCTTTGTGGTTTCATCTATATATGTTTTGTTTCTCTACAATTCTGTAATTATATTTTATCTCTTCTAATCAGTTCAGCTATACTTAATTTTATGAATAAGGTCTACAGTATCCTAGAAAAATCAACTTCAAAATAGGCAACATTAACCATGTGATATAAGTGTATTGTTTAAGTACACATGCAATGATTGCCTTGCAATGTCATATATTCAAAATTTCAACTGCAAAATTAAGACAGACAAAAAGCAAACAAAGAGCAGAAGTCATTTGAAACCAAATATTGAAAATGATTAATATTTGTATGAGTGTTCTTTTGCTCTTGGAAATCATGGAATATGTGATTTTTTAGTAAGAAAATATCAAATACAAAATGGTTAAAGTTGGAACGAGTAGAATCAAATTATGAAGTTAAGCAAACAGAAAACCAAGCATCTGTACGATGAAGCTCATGTAGCAGCAACTGCAGGAGGCAGCAAGGGGCGATGTCAGTGAATACAGGAAGGAGTGAAAACAAAGAAGAAGTGATGCTGTCGATGTCAGTTTACACCCCTGCTACAATCAATACGTTTACTTAAAAATATAGCTAATTGGCATACCTAAAATAAAAATTGACAAAGGGATTTCAAAAATCATTAAATAGTAATGTGGAGGCTTGTGAGATAAAAAACAATACATATAAAGCTAGAGGCACCGAACTCTCAAAAATTCATTAGAAAAACCAATTTATTACATTCTGTTAAAGTGATTGAATTTCAAGGATAAAAAGGAATTTGCCAGCTATCCAGAATTTTACAGAGGATAAATCTGGCCAGTATCAAATGTCTCCGTGGAAAAATGATGTGCCAGAAGAAAATATGTTTACAAAATCCTACAGGGAAAAGCAAAGTATGTCTGCAGAATATTATAACCGGGCAAGTTGTATCCATGTAGAAAAAGAAGATTCTGGCCTACTTAGTAAGGCAAGAACTCAAGCACTGTTCTATTTCTCTTCTGCCTTGTAATGAAACTATGGCAGAAACAAATGAAGAAACACCATTGTGAAAGAAGTGCAAGGTAATCATTAATGCATTGTGGCTTGAGTGTACAATGTCCCCCATAGGTTCATGGAACATTTGGTGTCCAGTTGGTGGCACTGTTTTAGCAGGCTGGGGAACCTAAATGAGGCAGATTGTTGTTGGAAGAAGTAGCTTCCCAAGAGGATGCTTTGAAGGTTTATAGTCCAGTCCCACTTTCCAATCTCCTCTCTGCTTACTGTTTTGCCAGGATATAACGAGATAAGGAGTCACAGCTTCACATCACTGCCACCAAGGTATCACAAGTGCCCATTCCTCCCCCTTGGTTGCATAACTACATACCCTCAAACTCTTAAGTCAAAGAAATCTCCTTTTCCTTTAGGTTGCTTGTTATTGGCTATCTGGTTACCATTATAATAACACAAAGGAATTGTGTATATATGCCATATATACATCACACAGGGTAAATGGCTGTTACAAAATATTTTGTGGATTACAAGTTAACCAAGCCATAAGCATAAAAGTGTAGAGAGCTGCAAAGTGCTGCACCCTTAAGATGGTGCTGGCTTCTGCCTTTTGCTAGCCC